GGTCAGTTCATAAATCTCTCTCATAGTGTTCTTGTATAGATAAAATTAATTAATACGTGGAAAAAGCTTAGAACTTCTCAACTATCTTCTTTTCCTGTTTTTGACTTTGAATTAAAATCTCATTGTGAATGGGGATTCCAGACCTTGAGCAAGTTATTTAACTTCTCTGGGTCTCAGTTTCATCATCTGAAAAATGGGCCCATAATAATAGTTATCTGAGTTGTGGTAAAGATTAAATGAATCAATAATTGGGAAGATCTCAGAATAGCACCTGGATCAATAAATGTGAGCTATTTTCCTAGCTATTGTTTCAAAGGAACAAGTGCTAGATTTTTTATAAAGAAAAATGAAATTCGAAATGAGGCAAACAAATTGCATTTTCCCTGTAATCCTCCACTTTTTGACTTTAAAAAAGAGGGGCACATTAAGTCTTATGTTTTGAGACATAAGGCAATTAGACAGTTCTTAATGGGATTAGGCAAGAATCGTCCACATGATATAATATTGCTTTATTTAGGGCTGAGGTTGATTTAATGGATGGTTTAAGAAATCTTTCCAATATGCCCCATAACTTCCAAGCATGTTTAAATGGACGAGAAATTAGGCATCTCTTTATACAATCATTTCAAATTGAACAACCATCATTTTACTAGAAGTATGGGGGTATTTGTCTGAAAAATAAAATAACATAGAGGGGAAAGACAAAAGCCCCACAGGTTGTCAAAGGGAGCCCTCAAGCGGATAATTCAGAAAGAAAATTACAGGACATTCTCACTCTCCTAACTGGATTCCACTAAGGATAAAGCACAGAGTAGGGAAGGTTATGAGATGCAATACGCCCAGTTGTGAAGAAATGAGGATTTGTTGAAAGTCTCTGAGGATGGGGTTGTCGTTTTTATGGTTTCTCTCCTTGCCAATGTCACCAGAACAGAGGTCATTCACTACATCTGAGCTGGCAAATACCATATAACAACTTTCTAAATTGTTAAATTGAAGGAACAGACTCATCCCCCAGCATCCTGGGGCAAGAATATGTCTAAGAAATTAAAAGAAGAGCAGACAGAAAGGACAGAACTGAGATGCAAGTACCTTTAAGCTGGCAGTTTCTTCTCACACACTATGTCATTCTTTCACTCGCACCTAAAGCAGCTGAGAGGGCCAGAACATCTTGACAAAGGACCATCCAGATGCTGTCTGCCCAGGATCCCCTCTCAGAGAGCAGCACTGATGAACAATGGGGTGGGGTTAATCGTAATTGTACCCTGAGTATCACTCTCCAAATGTTAGGGAAATGCCTTTTAAAAAGTAGATAATTACACCTGGATAGGAGCCTTAAATAACATCAAGTTGTGACACTCTCTCCATTTTAGAGCTGAGCAAAATGAAACTCAGAAAGACAGAGACTTTTCCCACAGCACCTTGTTATTGAGGAAAGAGCCAAAGACAAAAGTTCCATCTCTAATTTAAACTGTTATGTATTTGAAACAAAAGCAAAAATAAACAAATGGGGCTACATTAAACTAAAAAGCTTTTGCACAGTGAAGGAAAGAAACCATCAACAAAAAGAAAAAGCAGCCTACTGAATGGGAGAAGATATTTGCAAACCGTATATCCAGTAAGTATAGAAAGAACTCATACAACTCAACATCAAAAAGCAAACAAACAACCCAATTACAAAATGGGCAGAGGAGCTGAATATTTTTCCAAAGACATACAGATGACATTGTATACATGAAAAGATGCTCAACATCACTAACCATCAGGGAAATCAAAACCACAATGAGATATGACCTCATACCTCATATAACCTCATATAACCTTTGATGATAGACATACTCAGAATGTCTATCATCAAAAAGAGAACAAATAGATATGGGAACATATGTATATGTATAACTGATTCACTTTGTTATAAAGCAGAAACTAACACACCATTGTAAAGCAATTATACTCCAATAAAGATGTAAAAAAAAAAAAACCCACAACATTGTAAATCAACTACCCTTGAAAATATTTTTTAAATGCAAAAAATTTTTTAAATTAATTTCATTGTGTGTGTGTACCACAGGTTCAATATATAAATTATGTCAAATTGTTTTTCAAAATAAAGAATTTTTGATATTTAAAAAAAAAAGAGAGAGAACAAATAACAAGTGTTTGTGAGAATGTGGAGAAAAGGGAACCCTCATGCACTGTTGGTGGGAGTGTAAATTGGTGCAGCCACTGTGGAAAACTGTATAGCAGTTCCTCAAAAATTAAAAATAGAACTACATATGATCCAGCAATTTCACTTCTGGGTATTTACCCAAAGAAAGCAAAACACAGATTCAAAAAGATATATGCACACTTATGTTCATAGCAGGATTATTTACAACAGCTACAAAATGGAAGCAACCTAAGTGTCCTTCAATAGATCAATGGATAAAGAAGATTATATATATATACATATATATATATATATATATATACACACACATAAATATATACATATATAGAGATGTGTATACACACACACACAATGGAATATTACTTAGCCACAAAGAGAATGAAGTCTTGCCATTTGTGACAACATGGATGGACCTAAAGAGTATTATGCTAAGTGAAATAAGTCAGAATGGAGAAAGAAAACTACCATATGATTTCACTCATGTGTGGAATCTAAGAAACAAAAAAAATGAACAAACATAAAACAGAAACAGACTCATAGATACAGAGAACAAACTGGTGGTTGCCAGAGGGAGGAGGGTGGGTGGATGAGAGAAATAGGTGAGGGAGGTTAAGAGGTACAAAATTACGGGCTTCCCTGGTGGCACAGTGGTTAAGGATCCGCCTGCCAATACAGGGTACATGGGTTCGAGCCGTGGTCCAGGAAGATCCCACATGCTGCAGAGCAACTAAGTTCCTGCGCCACAACTACTGAGCCTGTGCTCTAGAGCCTGCAAGCCACAACTACTGAAGCCCGCACGCCTAGAGCCCATGCTCCACAACAAGAAAAGCCACTGCAATGAGAAGCCTGTGCACCACAACGAAGAGTAGCCCCCGCTCACCACTACTAGAGAAAGTCCATGCACAGCAAAGAAGACCCAATGCAGCCAAAAATAAATAAATAAAATAAATAAATTTATAAAAATAAAAATAGAGGTACAAAATTCCTGTTACAAAATATGAGTCACAGCTATAAAATGTACAGTGTGGGGAATATAGTCAATAACTATGTAATATCTTTGTACGGTGACATATCATAACTAGACTTATTATGGTGACCATTTTGTATGTATAAAAATATCAAATCACTATGTTGTACATACCTGAAACTAATAAAATATTATAAGTCAATTATACTTCAATAAAAATAAAAAAATAAAATGTGACTTGTTTCACCCTGCCTTTACTAATCCACTGAGAGTTGCCACCATCCCCCAACCCGTCCCTGTCCAGACACCCTGGGAGGCAAGAGGGATTAACAGGGAACAAGGGACTCACCCTCTGCATCTTAACTTTATTTCTGAAAACTCAAGATATTTTGTCCATCCTTCCCAACAGTTCGCAAGCTGTCATGATCTTACCTATTGATCTTAGAAGCATATTCACAGCTGTGTCAACAAAATCTCTCACCTAACACTCGCGCTACACACCCAACCTTCAGAGAAAATTAAATGGTCTAACACAGCTGAATTCCTTAGCTCTTAGGTTGAACCATATGACACTTCCGTTTTCGCAGATCAGAAACGGTTGAATATTGGCAATGGAATGTAGCTCAGTCTGATATTCATCAGCATCCTGAAATCACTTAAAAAGGAAATCGCCTTTCATTCTGATAAATCATCCCATATGTTCCATGAGAATGTGTTACATGGGTTTCAGTTAGAAAAGTAAAGTCTAGAGAATAGATCAATAAATACATTGTGGTACACATAGAAAACAAATTTATGGTTACCAAAGGGAAAAGGAGAGAGGGATAAATTAGGAGTTTGGGATTAACAGATACATACTGCTATATATAAAATAGGTAACCAACAAAGATCTACTGTATAACACAGGGAACTATATTCAATATCTTGTAATAACCTATAATGGAAAAGAATCTGAAAAAGAGTGTATATATATATATATCTGAATCACTGTGCTGTATACCTGAAACTAACACAAAATTGTAAATCAACTATACTTCAATTTTAAAAAATAAAAATAAATTATCATATATACACACACTAGAATACTTCAGAAAAGCAGTTAAAAAAAATTTACTCATATAAACAACATGGATGAACAAAAGAACAGACATTGAGTGAAAGAAGCCAGATATAAAGAGTACATTCTGTAGGATTCACATTGCACCAAGGCTCAGAACAGGTGACAGAAGCCGGAAAGGTCGTACTAGAAAACTTATACAATGCCAAAAGTATTCAATATCTCGAACCATGTCTAGGTCACAGCACTTTAAACATATACAAAAATCCATCTAGCTGTATCCTTAAAATCAGTGCCTCTTACCCACTTTGTATATGGATGTGGATTTTATACCCCAAATAAAAAAGAGGAGAGAAAATTACAGTCTGTGGACCCCCATGATACAGGTTAGCCTAGAGTGGTTAAGCACAGGCTGTGAAGGCAGATAAAATCAGTCTGCCCCCAACAGATATTTGATCTTTGATGATATACTTAACCTCTCTCTAAGCCTCAGTATTCTTATCTCTGAAATGGAGATCACAATGACATTTACCTTATACAGTTTGGGGGATAATTCAATAAGACAGTGTTTAAAAGGCTCATGGCACAGAGGCTCAAGGATGGCCAGGAGGTACCAGCAGTAGCACTGGTAGCAGAGTCTGTAATGAGACATCCCCCCAACCCCGCACCTGCCCCCTCCCATGCATATACTTCAGTTTCTGGAGAATTCTTCCCCTGACCAGCTCTCACTCCTCATGTGCTCCTTGGTGGAGGAGCAGGAACCAGGCACTAACCCCCAGAACCTGGCGCAGCCGCGGTCCCCCACTTACCAGTAGGGCGTCTGGGAGGTTGCGGTCCTCTGTGAAGGTGATGACCGCAGAGGTGATGTCCAGCGCACTGAGCTCCGGCGTGGCTGTGCTGATGGAACCTGCATCCTGGATCCAGCCCACCTGGAAGAACACGGCCACCTTCCTCAGGAGGCGGCCCGCGCGCACGCGCTTGAATACATGTCTCACCACAAACCTCATGGAGTCCCCAAGGTTCCTGCTGCTAGAGGACCCTGCCAGGGCGAGTCCCCTGACCTCCTGCAGGAGTGCGGGCCTCCCCTTATGGTCAGAGGACCACGTAATCTGTTTTGCTGTCGTAGGAGACGATGGCCACCCGGGCACCCGTGGGGCAGTTACTCCCACTGATTTCTGTCTTCATCAACAGAGATAGTAAAATGCCTCTCATCCTCTCGAAATCCAACTGGGAGACGTCATTTGACACGTCCAAGGCGAAGACCACCTCGGTCGGGAACACTGGGCATTCGGAAACACCTAGACATGTGGATACACAGATTTAGGATTGTCTGTAATGTCTGTAAACGGATGAAGGTTGGAGTGAATAAGAAGAAATGTTATTTACCTGAACAGTCTAGAAGGGAAACGATTTTGGAGAGAAAAGACGTTGTTAGTTGACATAGGCGAAGCCACGTTTGCCAGCTTCAGTATGAAAACCATCTCCTCTGAGAAATTCAAGCCTCTCCGAGTTCTGCCTGAGTGTGGCAGAGAGACCTCACCTTGCTCCCCAATATCTGCTCTCCCTTTTTTCCATGGTAACAGAAACCCAGTCTCTGGCTGGGTATATGGCTGCCTGGAACAAAAGGTACATTTCCCAGTGGGGTAGCATCTTACTAAGCTCTGGATAACAGAATTAGAACCATGGGAGGTACAACCTTGAAAAAGTATCCTCCTTTCCTTTACCTGCTGGCTGAAGCTTGATAGACATCTTGGACCATGAGGTGATTTCGGAAACAGCATCCCCACCCCAGTGGCAGTGCAGGAAAATATAAAGAGGCTGCATCCCTGGGCACCCATCCCTAGGCACCATGGCACTCCATCATCCTGGGACTGGCTACCTCCAGGCTGATTTGAGGACTATGTTGGTGTCCCTGCGTTTGAGTACTGAGTCACACTGTACTGAACTTAAATCTAATACACTTAGCTACTCAGAAACTATATATACACACATAGGCATACACACATATCTTAAATTCTATATAATAAAATATAGTAATATTAGTAATTATTAATATTAATTATTGTATTGTTGGTTATTAATATATTGTTTATTAATGTTAGTAATAATATTAATTGTATATTGCATATATTATGTATAAGTGTGTATACACAAGCAATATATTTTCATGGAAAATACTAGAAAACAATATATTAAAATTATCCTTAATTTATCATATATATGTGTATATATGTATATCTATCACTTGTTTTATTTCATTTTATAAGACTTGGAGCTTAGGATATGCTCTATTCTGAATCCTTTTTCACTTTATGATATTCCTTCCATCAATAAATTTAGAGCAGTGTCATCTGGTCTCCTATGATGTCTCATGATTTCTTCTGTCAACATCCCTTTGTGATGAGAATACTTGAACTTGTATCTGTTCATTTCTGTCCAATCACAGCTCCAAATAGGTCTACAATTATGGCTTTTGATATGTATTGTCCAATGGCTCTTCAGAAAAATTGTGCCAATTGACATACCTACATTTCTCAACTCTGGATAGGGATTTTTTTCCTCATCTTAAAACAATTTCCAATTTGAAACAAAAAAAATCTTATTTTAATTTGTATTCTTTGACTTCTTGTGAGGTCAAACATTTTTACAGGTTTATTGTATTTTTTTCTTTTCTGAATCCTCAATTCATGTTTTTGGCCCGTTTTCAATCTAAAAGAGATTTTTACACTTAGGTTTAGCAAATATGAAATATCTGTGTTTGTAGATGAAAATGATTGAGTAGCAGTGATTTTATATATTTCAACATGATAGAGTAAAGAAGTTAGGGCCTTTCCCTGGGTTCACTGCTTATATTGCATATATTTTCCCCATTTTTCTGTTTGTTTTTGACTTTACAGTGCTCCTGAATGTAAAAGAGGTTTAACTTTTAACTCTGAAACTTTTCCTTTGTGGTCAAGGTGATGGTATTATTCTTTATGATTTTTAGGAAAAAAAATTCCAGAATCTCCCTGAACAGCAACTGGATGGGAATGGACAGAATATGGGAGAGTCAGCATAATAGGGGTGGGATGATTGTGGAGAAAACCCAAACTTGCCAAGTCAATGTTCACTGCCTATTGCCAGTAAGTGGAGAAATGTGTATATTATAGGATGCAAATATCCTGGAGTACTTTGAAGACAAAGAATTACAATCTGGGAATGTGACAAAGCATTATTTAAGATTTGATGATTCACAGTTCCATTTTTAAAACACAAATGTTAATTTAAAAAGACCCATTTCTTACTGAAGGCTCACTGTTGATCCCTCTTGCTTAAATGGATGAAATAAAAGAACAGAGCTTCTCTTTGCCTGTTTTGTGATAAGAAGCACCAAGATGTGCAGGTGTGCAATTATCATTGCATTGCATGAGGTGCCAATTGTAGAGGAATTTTTCTTCACTGGTGAGATGGCATGCCTTTCATCCACTTCATTTCTTTTAACTTAATTTTATTTTACTGAAGTACGGTTGATTTATAATATCATATTAGTTTCACGTGTACAGCAAACTGATTAGTTATACACATATATGTATTATATATTCTTTTACAGATTTTTTTCCCTTATAGGTTATTACAAAATATTGAGTATAGTTCCCTGTGCTATACAGTAGGTCCTTGTTGGTTATCTATTTTATGTATAGTAGTGTGTATATGTTAATCCCAAACTCCTAATTTGTTCCTCCCCCCTTTCCCCTTTGGTAACCGTAAGTTTGTCTTCTATGTCTGTGGGTCTATTTCTATTTTGTAAATGAGTTCATTTGTAACTTTTTTTAGATTCCACATACAAGTGATATCATATGAGATTTGTCTTTCTCTATCTGACTTACTTAGTATGATAATCTCTAGGTCCATCCATGTTGCTTCAAATGGCATTATTTCATTTTTTTTTTAATGGCTGACTAGTATCCCATTGTGTATATGTACCACATCTTTGTCCATTCATCTGTCGATGGACACTTAGTTTGCTTCCAGGTCTTGGCTATTGTAAATAGTGTTGCAATGAACATTGTGGTGCATGTATCTTTTTAAATTACGGTTTTCTCCAGATGTATGCCCAGGAGAGGGATTGCAGGATTGTATGGTAGCTCTGTTTTTAGTTTTTTGAGGAACCTCCATACTGTTCTCCATATCATCCACTTCACTTCTGAGACCACGTTGGGGAAGATTACTTATCCAAGTGGGGACTGAGCCATATATGTTAAATTATAAGAGCTTCCCATGATGGACCATGGCACCTCCCAACCCCAGATGACTTATGTCCTCAGTGCATGATCCATTCCCACTTCACACCCCTGGCTCCTTTCTAGCCTTTCCCAACAACTTACGGCAATTTTCGCGACCAAAATTGATGATTTCACAAGGCTGTTAGAAAGATGGAGAAAGAAAGGAAAGAGTACTTAATTTGAAGCATATTCCTCCTCACCGTCATGACTTAGAAATGTCGTATGGATGTTATCCCAGCCTATCTGAAGCTTTTTAATCCACAACAGAAAACCCCAAAGTTGTTACAACAGATGCAACTTTCCAGAAGTTATATTTCTGGATCCAGTGGATATTTTTTAACTATTTTATATACAATATACTGCCCATACTATTAGAGATAGGTAGATAAGGGGAACCCTTCTTTTTTAAAAAAAATCTGCCTCACAAAGGAATGGAATCAAATCTGATTTTGAAGAAGGTTAATTCCAGGAATGTCAACACAGAAGGAAGAAAAATGCCTAAAATTCTTGGATCTCTACCTTAGCGATTTCTGTAACATTTCTTTAGAATGACAGGCAAGATATTCTACCCTCAACACCTCCCCTAGAATTGTTTCATTCCTTTGATTCCTTCCTCTCTGTTCTGTTCTCCCCTTGACCCCATCACTTCCTGCTCCTCAGTTGCCCCACGTCCTTCCCTCCCCTCCCCTCAATAGTATTTTTGTACTTGGGTGACGAAAAATCATCATAAGACTGAGATCATTTTCAGGTGTGCCATAAGACACAGTGGCCTGTACTATACTATGTTTTGGCTTATGAATACTTTACAAGCAATTTTTGAACATTACAAAAAGCCTTTCCCCCCCACCCCCACTGGGGTAGTAACTTCAAAGTCTTTCCTTTCATGCCAACTGGTATTTCTCAAAAACATCCAGATTTAAAATATTATTCTACTCTTGAAAATATTTAAAATATTGTTTAAATATTTAAAATATTATTCTACTCCTTTTATTTGATTTGGTTACAACCTACCAGAGTAAAGTCTATAAACTTAAAGTACTAAGAGAACTTACAAGAGGAGAAACTAAAGAATCTTTACAGATTTCTATTTTGTGAAAGTGGAAAGTTTTGTGTTTTAAAATTTACAATTAAAATCTTCACACCAGCAGAAACAACAAATTCTGTAACTATTTCAGATATTGGAATAATCAGATAGAAAATATAAAATAACTACATTTTGTATGTCTGAAGAAATAAAAGATATCCTTGAAAATATTAAAAAAAAATCTTCACCTACCATCATATCTATCACACCTTTGGGGCCCTTGATGCCCTGGAAAGAATAGAAATGGGTTTCAAATGCAAGATTCTGGAAGTCCAACACATTATTCTGAAGAGTTGGCAAGAGAGTTTGAGAAAGCTCACCACGCTACAGAGACCTCCTTCTGCCTTGCTCCTGGGCCTGAAGTTCTGTCTGACTCCTTAAGGAAGGAGGTCAGAGTGTCTAGGAGATGTATCCCAGACCTCAGAGTCCAGGGTGCCCAGGGAGATGCTACAGAAAGACTCTTAGGAGACCAGGTTATTTTGAGACTAAGCCACAGATTTTTTTGGTTTTTTGTTTTTTGGGTTTTTTTAATTAATTTATTTTTTTATTTTATTTTTGGCTGTATTGGGTCTTCGTTGCTGCACACAGGCTTTCTCTAGTTGCAGCGAGCGGGAGATAATCTTCATTGCACTGCGGAGGCTTCTCATTGCGGTGGCTTCTCTTGTTGCGGAGCACAGACTCTAGGTGCATGGACTTCAGTAGTTGTGGCTTGCAGGCTCTAGAGCGCAAGCTCAGTAGTTGTGGCACATGGGCTTAGTTGCTCTGCGGCATGTAGGATCTTCCTGGACCAGGACTCAAACCAGTGTCCCCTGCATTGGCAGGCGAATTCTTTTTATTTTTTTTATAGTTGTGTGTGAACTTTTTTTAAAAATTTATTTATCTTATTTATTTTTTATTTTTGGCTGCATTGGGTCTTCATTGCTGCACACAGGCTTTCTCTAGTTGCAACGAGAGGGGGCTACTCTTCGCTGTGGTGCCGGGGTTTCTCATTGTGGTGGCTTCTCTTGTTGTGGAGCACAGACTCTAGGTGCACAGGCTTCAGTAGTTGTGGCTCGTGAGCTCTAGAGTGCAGGCTCAGTAGTTGTGGCACACGGGCTTAGTTGCTCCACAGCATGTGAGATCTTCCTGGACCAGGGCTCGAATCCATGTACCCTGAATTGGCAGGCGGATTCTCAACCACTGCGCCACCAGGGAAGCCCCAATCCACAGTTTAGGATCAAATTCAGGAAAAGGCCATTCAAGATCCCAGGACCACTTATAGGCAGTTCTAAAGTGGACCCCTGTCCTCCCCTACCTCTTCTCCTCAGGCCACCCACCACCACCCTATCTATTCCCTAGCATTACACAAGTCTTCCCTGGAGCCCTTCACAACAGATCCGCCTGACTCCAGCCACTCTGGGAGT